AGGGTGGAGGTAGGGCATGTTTGACAGCCTGTGGGTAAAAACTTCTGTTGAGTCTGTTTGTCTTTGACCTGTAACGTTTACCAGAGGGAAGGGGGGGGAAAGTGAGTGTCCAGGGTGCGAGGGGTCTTTGATGATGATGCTGGCTTTCTGCTGAAGTCTGTCAGTATAGATGTCTCTGAGGGGGGTTGGTGAAGTGCAGATTGCCCGCTCTGCTACCCTCACCACGCGCTGCAGTTTCCTCTTGTCCTCCGCGGTGCAGCAGTTGATCCAGAGTGTGCAGCAGTAAGTCAGAAGGCTCTCGATGGTGGAGCAGTAGACGTTTACGAGCAGTCTTTGGGGTAATTGGGCCTGACGTAGTTTCCTGAGGAAGTACAGCCTTTGTTGTGCTTTCCCTACCTGGTGGGAAATGTTTGTGGACCAGGTAAGGTCGGCCGAGATGTGGACTCTGAGGAACTTAAAGCTTTATACCCTTTCTACCTCCTCCCCATCAATGTAGAGGGTAGAGTGCTCAGATCGCTTTGTTCTTCTGAAGTCGATTACCATCTCCTTGGTCTTGGCTGTGTTCAGGTTGTTGTCGTCACACCATTGCTTCAGATGCTGAACCTCCTCTCTGTAGGCTTTGTTTTTCATTGTTGTCGATCTGACCCCGCCCAGCAGCCAGACACTGAACTTCAACAGGTAACATCTGTGATGAGCAGTCAAGCTGGACCTGTTTCTACCTGTTCATGTTACTAAAGTAGAATCACTGTGGAAATTACTGTGAAGTTTCTTTGTTCCAGTTCTAATCTTTGCTTTGTTTTGTTGGCTTTGTGTTCGCATGTCAATGCTTTGAGAAAGATCATATGTGTGTCCTTATTAGGATCGGGATATGTGTTGGTGTGTGGGGCTGTAGTCAGTCAGTAGGTTTATATTGATAAATGGTAATTATGAGACTATGCATTCCATGTAATTTTACGGAAAAATGCTGATATAATGTAAAAAGTAACAAATTACTGTCTTCTGGGCGCAATTACTTTTAGTATCAACACCAAGAGTGGAAATGCTACCAATATGCACAAACGTTTCTCATCCACTTGTCTTCCATATGCTGCTTAGTGATGATGGTGACTCTCAAAGTGGAGGCAATGAGAATCCAGTGAGAGTTGATAATGGAATCAGAATCGCTAAATTCTTATGAATTCTAGTTGCACTACAGGACAATTTTTCACTGTGCCAGAGTCTATGTTAAAAAGCTCAGGTACAGTATGGCCTGTAGCATTGTATGGTAGATTCTTTTTTTTATTATTATGTTTATTTATTTTATTTTTTTACCTGCTTTGTGGTGGCAGGGCACTGGGTTTACTGTCAGTGGTTTCATTCACAGTCATGTTGGAGCTGTAGTAACAAACAAATGGTTTACTGGGATGTAGATTTGTGTTATAATGTTAGAATGAACAGAGAATTGACATTTAAAGTACCTTTTAACTGTTAATTCTGAATTTAAAGCCATATGAATGTTATGTAAAATCTATATCTCGGGCATGCATTCTGCAGTATTTAAGTGTTGGTGTTAGCATGCCCACATACCACTTATTTAAATATGTTTGTTGTGCACTGATATAGGGTACTCATGTTACATTTAGTGCACCTGTGTATCATATATAGCAGGATTTTGTTGGGATTTAAAGGTAATTAATATGCAATTACAATCCTATTTCCAATAATCTTAGGTCAGTCACTACAGTAAATGTAATTCAAAAAACAAATCTAAGATTTGTAAATAATTT